GGTGGGGGGGGGGGGTAATTGATAAGCCCCCAATTAAATTTACTTAAACAAGGCGTAAGGCACAAGGTGGGAAGTCCAGCACGTGAGAGCAAGATTCGATGGAAATATCTAGAAGAAGGCTGAGTCGGTAAATCTATTAGTAAGTTTGTTGAGAAAAGGGTATAAATAAACATGTGAGGGGGAAGAAGGGTAAGCAGAAACCCAGTGAGAAAGTAGAGAGAGGTTTACTTGTATTTTTCCTTAAGTTTTCTTTCATTATTAGCATCGTTCTTCTTCAATTCAATTATAAGAAAAGCTAATTTTCAGCAGTCCCCTTTTGGTTACAGTAAGTTTGAATTAATTTTGGAATTGCATTCTACCAGTAGCCATCAGAGCTTGAACCTCTCAGGAAGAAACAATTTATTACATGTTGTAAAGCTCTATGCTTTCTTATGCTTCTGAGTTCTGTGAGGCATCTTTACAATTTTCCTTATCTATCAGTTTAGAAAAGTAGATGAGGGAGAACTTATATATATTTAACTTAAAATAAGCTGAACATGGCTAAGCAAAAGTGCATTTCGACATTTGCTTCCTTTCTTTTCTTAATTAGGAATAAAGATCAAATTTTGGTATGCATGGTTTATGGGAAAAAAAGAGAAAAAAGTATGAAGTAAAAGAAATCCTAATAGTGGAAGAGGAAAGTATGACAGATAGAAATGTTTACACAACAAACTTCCCTATGGAAAGAGGGAGAGACGGGTACCTCGTACCAAGACATTCGAGGTCTCATTGAGACTCACCCATGAACATTTGGATTTTCCCTCCTCAGCCACTAACCTATAGGGACCCTGGTGCGACCACACGAAACAAAAGAAACAAAGATTAAATATTTTTAAATACTTCATGCAACAATACGTACTCACGTAGCATTTCAAGCAACAAAATTAAATTGTAGTCAAAGATTCATTGCCTCAGTGTGATTCTGATAAACCAATATATTCAGTTCATAGTCAAATAAATCACCAAAGACATAAAAAAGGGAAAATTGCAGCCACAGTCCAAAACCTTTCCGTCTTTTATAGATTTTACCTCAATCTTCACTATATACGACCCACAATCCCAAACCTTTCAAATATTCTCACTGTAAGGACAAAATGACAAAAACCAATAGTCAATCCGTAAGTTGACCAAATTTTCATTAATTTTTAAAGGGTAGAAGGGTACTTTTAGAATTGTCATATTATAGAATTAAAATATATTAAATAAAAAAACCAAAAATAAAAAAATAAAAATTGGAGATTGAGACTTCTTCTTTTTGCTACCCCCACACTGAAGTCCACCCACCCCACCCATACCAAAAACCTCCACCCACCACACCCAAACCACCGCACCGCCACCAACACTACTATCCATACCAGTACCCCCACCCTACCAAACCAAAACCCACAACCACCTGCAACCGTTACTGTATAGCTCCATTTATTGGGACCTAGATTTTAACCCCAATTTCATGGCACCAATGATTCTTATACCTTCCCCATCCCCACCCGTCGTTAAAGCCATCCATATCCATATCCATTTCCATCCTTAAAGCCGTCCATTCTCGAATTCTAACGACAACAGACATCATCAAATACTTGTCTCTATAACGTCCCATTCTCCAACAGCATCCACCACAAGCTTAGGATTTTGTTAATTTTATAAATATAGGAGGAAATTCCGATTGGCCTTGTGGTTTATGCACGGGTTTGACCCGAAACGGGAAGATTAAATTGTGGATTCGTGAGATGATTTGAGTGTGGTAGGTCAATGATCGTCGATGTGGTGGAGTGTGGATGGCGGTCGTTGGCATTGGAGGGTCTGGATCTACGATAATGGCTATGCAAGTGGTTTCGGTTTCTATAAGTGTAGACTGAGGTGTGGGAGTGGGGTCGGAAGAAGAAGAAAAATAACTTTCCAAATTATTTTTTTTGGTTTTTTTATTTAATATATTTTACTTCTTTAATATGAGAAATCTAAGGTTACCCTTTTGCCCTTTAAAAAATAGTCAAAATTGGGTCAGATCATCCTCTAACGAAATCGGAGGTTAGCAGTAGGCAATGTAAAAGGGAAGCAGAACTGAGCATGGCATTTGTATTTAATATTTATAATAAAAGCACCAAACTTCAACTAAATGTTTGGTATACAATAAAGAAGCTTGTGTTGTTGTCATGTATACCGTGTCTAGTTGCTTGACAAACCACTGATTTAGCTCCTTCATGCAAGACGCATCCATGAGCAAGTAGGAATGGAAGTCTGAATAAGTTAAATAGATCGGTTCCCCTGAATGAAAAAACAATAAAAAGCCATCAGATAGGCACAGGAACAAATAACAGATGCACCTTCATTGGAATAAGGCAAAAAGTCATCCATTTGAATCAGACTATACCTATATCTTTCTTGCCAGAGCATAGCAACACCAAATGTTTTGAAAAGACCCAAAAATAAGACCAAGTGTTCAATTTAATGTTATTTAGATATATATTAAGGACAAGAACCTTTAAGCGTATCTACATTTGGAAAAACTGGAGTAACCTGAATGAATTTTAGAACTTCTCATGCATGCAGAACTCCAAAATCTATTAAGAATTAGTTCTTAGTAAATTTAAGGGAAGAAGGGAATGTTATACCATCGCCTGAATGATAATGAGACAATTCTTGAGCAGTAGAGGCCATCCGTCCAAGAACTGCATTCATCTTAGTCAAAATGAACACAATCAAAACAATATGCATAGAACTAATAACATCTACAAGTTAAAAGGGAAAAGAATAATATAACGAAGTGGAAGCGTTACTAACATCTCAGTCCAAAAACAATCATACAAGTCATTATAACCTTGATACTAAAAGGCCAGCAAGCAGAAAATAAACTGGACATTGACATCCATCTTAAAATAAATACACACGTAAATATTCAGCTGAGAGCCTAAGACATTTATATGTTGGCACAACAAATCGCGAGGTGCATATGTGAGGAAAGATGAAAAGGAACAAAAGAAAGAAACGAATTAGACTTCAATATTCCATACACTCATCAACTGCTTTGAGGTAAAAAATAAAATAAAACAAACCTTTGCAGTATAATACTTTGTGTTTGCAGGCAGCAAGTCATCGCTTTGGCACGTTAGATAAATTGTAATTCGATAAACTAAGTATTATCCAAAATCTTCTAGCGTGTAAAGATTTAACATTTATATACTTACAATAAATGTCCCACACACATAGCCCCTAAAATTTTTGCTTATGGACTTGTAAAGAAACAAAAATAACAAATTCCAACTAGGACCACATTAATGCCAGAGTTAGGCAAGACATTGATACTATCGAGCATACCTCCATATTCCTTGCCGAAAGGGTATCATCTACGGAAGTTAGTTGACCATTTACAGTAGATGTGGCCGCAACTCGTGCCCTTCTTCCTTGAATCAATGCTGAAGCCTGCCCAGTGAGCAGATCATTTTGATGCTGCAGAGACCGGAGCTGTTTCTGCAACTCCAAAGCTTCTGCTTTTGCAGCTAAAGTAGCATCACTGAACACGAAAGCACACCATCTTGAGAACCGAGCAGCATAAGCATTATAATTTCTTGAAAGAGATTGTCTATAACTTTGCAATTACAGAAGCAAAAATTTATTCTTCAGCAATATGTGAAAAAAGCCCATGCTAAAATCATCATGCATGGGCAATGATGAGCAAAGGAAAAGATCATGAAAAATGCATATGGGATGTTAGAGCCAGAGTTCGAAGAAAATACTGAGAACCCAGGTCAAAACAGCAAAAAAAAGCTTGTGATGATATATAATGTGACTGAAACAATTCATTTAAGTAAATGAAGCAATCCAGTCACAAGTTATAGACTTATTCCTGAAAAATGCGTGACTAGGTTTCACGGGGTGCCTTTCTTTTTGGCACAGAAAGGGACACTGTGCGGCAGTAGTCTGCTCTGCTAAACTACTTTTCGCTTGTACTCAGTCGCCTCAGGACGAAAGAAAATTTGATTACAATTTTGTAGAAAGCTTATAATAGAGAATTTGAATATATTGAAAGTAAATTGAACATTGATTGATGAAAACTAAACATTACAATTAACGAAAGCGAAAATTACAATTGCTAGTGAAGGGGGCGGACACTACTGAGCTTGAAAGGTTTTTGAATGATTAATACCCCCTATAATAGCATTCTGAATAAAAACCTAAGTGACAGGAGTAAACATTTAAAAGACAAGGAATCATGCTAAATGTTTACTAATATCAGAGCTATTTTACAACTGAACTAACTATTACAGTGAAAAGAAAATTACAACTCAAACTTGAAGTAATATTTACAATGTGCGGCAGAAGTTGGGAAACTGCGACTGCGATAGTGTCAAGGGGCTAAGTAAAGCTATGGTCCTCGACATTCTCCCCCATTGTTTTGGCGACGTCCTCGGTGCCATCAATGCATGATATGCTTCAATTAATGGTTTGAAAGTTCCGAGATCTTTTTCTCTTTCCCAAGTATTCTCCTCACTGCTGCATCCAATTCATTTGACCAAGTACTCCTGATGATCTTTTCTATAAGCTCGAGTGATTCGATGGTCAAGAATAGTTTCTGCAACTTTCTTTCCAGCTTTCTAAACACAGGTCACTTTGGCTCATTTCTAGATGCGTCCTCATTATCCGCAAAGTATGGCTTCAACACACTAACATGAAGGATCTTGTGGATTTTACACCATGAAGGGAGTTCAACTCTGTACGCAACTCTTCCAATCCTCTTCACAATGGGTAATGCTCCAATGTATTTTGGTGTCAATCTTGAGTCCTTCCCTCTTGTTGGTTTGTAAACATTTCTATCAGGAAGCTTAACCATTACCAGATCTACAAAATTGAATTCAATGAAATGGCGCTTTAGATCTACAGCCTTTTTATACCGTTTTTGAGCTTTCTCAAAATAACTCCGAGCAATTTCAATATTTCGTTTCCACTCTTGAGAAAAGTTCTTTACTTGAGGGGACTTGGTACTTCGTTCGATATCCACTGTATGAGGGAGTAGCGGTTGTTGGCCAATAACAATCTCAAAAGGACTCTTATTGGTGGAAGAGTTCTTTTGGGCATTGAAGCAAATCTAAGCCGCATCCAAAAGTTTTACCCAGTTTTTCTGCGAAATAGAGATAAAGTGCCGAAGATATTCTTCTAGCATAAAATTGAAGCGTTCCATCTGTCCGTCAGATTGTGGGTGATAACTAGAACTCATGCTCAAAGTCGAACCAAGAAGTTTGAACAACTCAGTCCAAAATATGCCAGTGAAACGAGGATCTCGATCACTGACAATGTCCTTAGGCAGTCCCCAGTATTTGACAATATGTTTGAAGAAGAGTTGAATTGTCTCTTCCGCAGATACATACTTAGGCGCTGCAATGAAAGTTGCATATTTTGATAGACGGTCCACCACGATGATGAGAGTGCCAAAATCCTCAAATTTTGGCAACCCAATAATGTAGTCCATCGATATACTTTCGAATGGTCGAGTTGGGACGAAAAGGGGCTCCAGCAAGCCCGCCTTTTTCTAATGATTTGCCTTATCTTGCTGACAAATAAGACAGGTTTTTACAGAGGTTGCAATGTCTCGCATTTCAGGCCAGTAGTATGCACGTTGCAATAGTGCACAGTGCGTTACTCTCCTGGATGCCCTGCCCAAATCGTGTCATGGCATTCTATAATTAGTGATTTCCTCAAATCTCTACCCTTAAGAACATAGAGGCGATCTCCCTTTGTCTTCACTAACTCCCCATCGAGCCAGAACTGTCGAGTTTTACCATGCTTGATGAGGTCGACCAAATATTGAGTAGCCGAGTCCTTCTCTATAAGTGTCCGAATTTGGTCTCTAGTGTTCGTGGAGACGGCACTCCCTGAAAGAGCAGCTACGAAGCAAATGGCAGCCAAATCGGCCCCTCGAGTAAGAGCATCAGCAAATGGCAGCCAATTCAGTAAGTGGCAGTGCAATTTCTGAGTAGTCTTTCACAAATCTTCAATAGTAATTGCATAACCCAAGAAATGAACGTACATCATGTACTGCTTTACCTTGTTTTCGGTGGTTGCCAATCTTTGATGGCTGTACTTCTTCGAATCCATACGGATTTTACCTTGTTCAATGATGTGACCCAAAAAACTGATAGATGTCTGAGCAAATGAGCATTTAGACGGCTTGGCATAGGGTTCATTACTGATAGATGTCTGAGCAAATGAGCATTTAGACAGCTTGGCATAGAGTTCATTTTCCCATAGCCGATTAAAAACTTGCCTCACATACTGGATATGTTCCTCCAATGTCTCGCTGTAAATTACTATGTCGTCCAAGTACACGACAAAATCATCTAAAAACCCGTGAAGTACCTGATTCATCATAGTACAAAATGTTGCTGGAGCGTTTGTCAAACCAAAAGACATCACTTTAAATTCAAAGGCTCCATATCTGGTTACCACCGTAGTCTTTGCTTCGTTTCCCTCCTTGATTCAAACTTGCTAGTATCCGGGCCTAAGATCAATTTTTGTGTAATACTTCGCCCGACTCAGTCGATCGAAGCAATTCACAACCAGTGGGATAGGATAGCTATTCTTTACAGTAATCTTGTTCAAGGCTCGATAGTCACAACACATTCTAAGAGAACCATCGGCCTTTTTCTGAAACAATACAGGAGCTCCATATGGCGACTTCGTAGGCACAATGTGTTGCACCGATGTGAAATCATCCATCTGAGCTGCAGATAAATTTGTCCTTCCCTCGAAAGGACCTGCTTTGATCAACACCGATTTCGCTACTCCAGCTATTGGTAGAGTAGCGGAGTTGATTGCTTTGACTTTTCCACTACCCTTTTCCAGAATAAGTCTAAACCGCTCTACTTCGGTACATGCAAGATAGTTGTGGGTAGCACCAGTATCCACAATAGCCCTGATTGGCTTCCCTTTGATTTTTACATCAATGTATATTAAGCTTTTGGCCCTACAAATTCGAGTCTTCGCTTCTTCCATCTTTGCCTCTTTCAATCGGACATCATCCTTTTCAGCGACCCGATGCGACAGTGTGTTGCACCGATGTGAAAATGCCCCAACTACATCCTCATTCTCTTCAGAGTCGGTCTCACTATGACAATTAGCCTGCGGGGCCTCTTGCTTTGAACTTGACCCGCCACTTGCTAGGTGACAATATGCATTTACCATCCGCTTCTGAGGACACTCCGACACCCGATGAGGTCCTTCGCATAAAAAGCACTTCAATTTGGGAATGACATCGGTTCGCCCCTCCATTACTTTTCCTTTATTTCAGTTGTTACTGTTGCTGCCGTTAAAATTTCCTTGACGGTTATTATGATAGTTTCCCGAAAAGCCATGAGTACTTTGATAAGCTCCTTCTTTATTCTGAGAGTAACGCTCTCCCCCATTTGGGTTCGAGTAAGGTCTGTTACCACCTCCAATTGCTTGATTACTCCCCGAAAGTCGATCTTTTCTAGATTCCGTTTAGTAGTCGCTCAAGCATTCGACGGCTCTCATGGCCGTGCTCAAATCAGGAACTTTCTGTTTTTGAAGTTCTGTGCATGTCCACGGTTTCAACCCTCTCATAAAGGTGAAGAGCTTATCATTTTCCGACATATCTCGAATATTCAGCATATGCCCCGAAAAGGATTTCACATACTCCCTAATAGAGCTTGTATGTTTCAGGTCTCGGAGTACCCGTCGAGCCTAATACTCCACATTTTCGAGGAAAAACTGCAATCTTATCGCTTCCTTGAGGAGATCCCAAGAATATATTCAAACCCTGTTGGCCTGAATGTCAGCATATTTGATTCGCCACCATAGTTTTGCATCTCCACCCAGATACATGGTAGCTATGATTACCTTTCTAGCTTCGTCTTCGATCGAAGTTGCGAAAAAGTACTGTTCTATGTCAAATAAGAAGTTTTCGACTTCTTTTGCATCACGTGCCCCTCCGTAGGTACACGGTTCAGGAATTCTATGTCTAGATGCATTCTCAGGTACGGAAGCTTGCCCATTGCCTACCGCATATTGGAGTACCCGCAATTGAGCTCTCAACGATTCCATTTCATCCTACAAATCAGGAATGATTGCAGCAGTTTCAGTCATTGTTGCGCAAGCCCTTTGGCTTTCATCCAATTGGATGTGTAATCTACGAATCTCGGATTCGGCCATCTCGACTTTTTTCTAGAGACCGTCTAAGGCATAGAACAACCTAGTAGTTGTCTCATCAAGCGCATCCACACGCTGTTTAGTAGTACTCTTCTTTTGAGGCTCTTCCACTTCAGTGGTGTAGGATGTAATTAGATCCATAGCTTTCTTATCGAGGGTCGTGAGCCGCAGCTCCGATATCAACTTTCACGGGGTGCCTTTCTTCTTGGCACAAAAAGGAACACCGTGCAGCAATAGTCTGCTCCGCTAGACTACCTTCCGCCTTTTCTCGGTGTGTCAGGACAAAAGAAAATTTAATTACAATTTTGTAGAAAGCTTACAATAGAGAATTTGAATACATCGAAAGTAAATTGAACATTGATTGATGAAAACTGAACATTACAATTGACGAAAGCAGAAAATTACAATTGCTGGTGCAGGGGGCGGACACTAATGAGCTTGAAAGATTTTTGAATGATTAATACCCCCTATAATAGCATTCTGAATAAAAACTTAAGTGACAGAAGTAGACGTTTAAAAGACGAGGAATCATGCTAAACGTTTACTAATATCAGAGCTATTTTACAACTGAAATAACTATTACGATGACAAGAAAATTACAACTCAAACTTGAATTAATATTTACAATGTGTGGCCAAAGTTGGGCAAACTACGGCTGCGATAGTGTCAAAGGGCTAAGTAAAGCTGCGGTCCTTGACACTAGATTTCGTACTCGAGCTGGGCTACATGCTCGGCATACTCAAAACTAACCATAAATTGAGTGTTGTGTATGTTTTGCAGAACAGACTTAGTGAAACATGATATATAATGTGACTTAAGAAGCTGGAAAACCCAATTTACATTTGCTGATATGTATACTACACAGTGACGTACATATATAAAGCTATTCGAAACTTTTTTTAACTACTTTATTGGTTTTTTTTTCCCCCCCGGGGTATTTTGATTGTAGATGTGAGAAATAATGCCAAGCATATTTTGATGAATTTCACATATCTTCCAACTAAACAAATTGTTGAAGGCAGGATATAAATTAATAAAAAAATATGGCTGCATCTGACATATTAAGCTTTTAGATGAAAGGGTCAATATAGTATCAAAGTTGAGCGACAGACCCAAGTTCAAGTCTCCCCACCACCCACATATTAAAAATTGTGAATGAGCTAGGCTTGTGATTGTTAATAATGAAACCAACCTACATGTGAGGCCGTGTGTTGAAGAAAATATATAAATGAATAAATGTTCTCCTACCTAACATCTTATACTTTTAGATGAGATAGTTCATATAAATTACTAGAGTTTTTCCCAAATCCGGGTCTAACGTAATATTAGAAATTCAGAATTGCAAGCCAATCAGAGCTTTCAAGCTGAATCTATAAGAGGTCTGACTGGCTGAGCTGCAACGGTTTTGGCAGTTTGCTCATATTTGAGCCAGACTAAAGCCTGCTAATAAACTAACAAACCCAAGTTCATACATTGAAACTTGGCTCATTTTGGTGTGTAATGACTTAAAGTGTACAAAGGACAACAACTGTTACCGTATTTCTTTCAATCCTTCTTCAGTTCCAAAAACTGCCTCCTGGTTGTCTCTCCTTGCAGAAAAGGTTGAAATGCTATCATAAGCAAAGTCTAAATCTTCCCCCTAGTGGCATCAAAATATTCGTGCATAAAGGAAAAATATTATTATATGAAAGCAAGACAAATATAAAGATAGAACCTAAAACACTAAAAGTATAATTAAAAATATAAGAAGAGAAAATGATTCATTAAGCATAGAATATATATAGTTAGTTGACATGTAAAACTAAAATATTTTGAATTATACAATCAACGCCCAGCAAACATTCTTAAAAATAGAGAATGGTATTTATTAAATCAGATGCTCACATATTCTCTTCCCCACCTTACACAAAAACTGTGAAAACAAAAGAATAAAATCATATCCCTATTGGCCTTGATATGTCGTAACAGCATAGATTAAGTAAAGAGAGATGATATTCCCCATATAACAGAAAACAACAGAAAATACAATAACCAATATCAATAAATTTGAAGCAACTATGCACCAGAGAGCTTATATAAGCTTTTAGAAGAGAAACAGGACAAAATGTCGTGCAATTTAAAACAGGAATGATCATGTTGGTGAAGATTAGATTTAAATGGATACGCATGGCCCCTCTCTAAAAGCTTAAACTTTTCAAGGAGATAAGTGAACGCGATAACACAGCTGAGCAAAAGACTAGGGGTTCAAATCTCACCACCACTCATTTATGATAATTGTACACATATAAGACCTTTGATAAAAATAAATAAATATTGTCTGCAAGTGAGCAGTGTTGAAGTTGGATTTAAAAGAAGACGTGTGGCTCTCTTTAAAAAATTTAGCTTCTAGATGAAATGTTAAAAAAAAAAAAAAAAACGTCAAGGACTCTTCACAAACAGCACTATCTTGTCCTAAAGGACAGTCTGGCAGCCACTTCTAGGATTCCCGTCCTCATCTTAGGACATAGCCCCAAAAAGGTGCAAAACCAAAAGTTCAACTAATGGAGGACATTTTTCCAGCACAATGAAAGAGAAAGAGATGACTAGTAAAAGAAACAGATCTGGATGTACCTCCAAAAGCTTTCCTTCCTCTAAAAATTGCTCGTACCTAAATGCACAGAGAACAAAAGAAGCAAATCACTGGCTAGTAAATGTCGGTACATATCAAATAAAAAGTTGGATATGAACTTCAACGAAAATTGCGGAAACTAAGAAAAACGTATAACATTATAAATAGACCAATAAAGTTCTAAGCTTTAATATCTACATCAGAAATAGTATTCTTTTGGTCAATAACTTCATGAATTTTAGTACATAACCAGAAAAATGCACATCTTGTCTTGATGAAAAACTGAAGACCGATAGAAGTTAAAGCAGAAAGAGCATATAAAAGACTCTAAACTTCAGGGCCCATGGGATTAGTCGAGGTGCACATAAGCCGCCTGGACACCCATGATTATCAAAAATATATATGTATAAAAAAGACTGGGTAACAGAACACTTGGAATAACCAGTTAGAATAAAGCACTGCGATAGAACATTTAGTCCGTATGCATGTCAATGCCTTCCCATTGCAGTCCTCCTATACATAAATCAGATTATATTAAAGAACAGGTGAATAAACACAAAAAGACTTCGGAAAATAAGGAAACATATAATCATAATACCCTTCAAATTTACCTCCTCTGGCTGCAATTAAGAAAACTCAAAATCCCTCGAATAAAAGAAAAAAACACAATTTCAGACCAAAAAAACATGTAAAACCCAACCATCAAATGCAATTCTTACTATGCTAAAACATTTAAGGAAATTTAGTTCACAAACAGCATAAATAAACAAATAGAAGGCAGAAAATAATCATAAAGCTGAATGTACATTATCTAGTAGAAAGGGAGAGTCAGAGTTACAGTGAAACTTCGGAGGAAGAGAGAACGTTAGAGGGGCGGAGGCTAGAGCAGAGCCAGTCGAGGACGGGCCGAACGTCGTCGTATTGGAAGGGCCATTCGCAGCTGTCCGGGTCAAGTGACTCGTATCCTTCGTAACCCAATTCGAACAACAAAGAGCACAATCGAGCGCCACTCATTCTCAGAACAATGCGAATTGCTTCAGATCTGAACGTGATTTGGAGCAATAATCATTGAATTATTTCTCCTCGAATTGTTGTGGGTGAAGGGGTTTTTCCTTTTTTTTTTATTTTCTGTTTGAAGAGAATTAAGAAAATGGCGGTTTATTGTTTTATCATAAAATTCAAAGACAAAAAGACGGATGAACAAGGTTGAAAATTTTGGATAAATGCAAGCTAAAAGCCCTTTCAATTCCCACTGACATTCAGTACCACGATGTCACCCACGAAAAAGTAAACCCTTGATTAATTTTGATTATTTTATTTTGAGTTACACATTCTCGAATTATTTAATCGTACTAGTTTGATAGAGATTAACGCCATGTTCGATAAAAATTTTGAGATTTAATTTTTTGATCGTTAAAAAAAAGTTGGGGGCTACCCGTGAGAGAAAAAGTTTAAAATTACGATTGAAATAGTAAAATAACAGTCAAAAATGTTTTAGAGTGAAAAATCACTTCCAAAAACCCCTAAAATCTATTTTTTAATAAATTTTGATAGAAATTGATAAAATATATTATTACAAAATTATAAATTCTATAAAATGTACAATAAAAATTAATTATTAACTTTAATTTAAATTAAAATCTGAATTTTAAGATCTACAAGACAAGGGCTTACTCTCCTTGTTAATTATGGGCTCCATTATTTTTAAAATATATTTTTTTCATTTTTAATCATATAGTGCTTGTTTGTGCTCCCATTATTTGAGAACGATATATTATGGAATAGTGATTGATGTTGAAATGTGTGGTTAAAAAGGAAAAAAATTAATTTACGTGTAATATTATTTTAATAAAGAATGTGTAGTTAAAAATAAGTAATATAAAAAAATAATGAGGTAGAATAATAGACAAACGAAGCCTTAATTTTTAATAAAATAATATTAAACTTAAGACATAAGTTTAAAAAATTTCTTTATTTTTTTACTACACATTTTTTTAAAAATTATTATTTAAAAATAAAATTTCTTCAAAAATCACGTTAAAATGGACCCAAACAGTGGCTTAATCATTCTATAAAAACACCTATTGGAAAAAAAAAAAGCTCTAAATACCTTCTCCCGCCCCTGCTTCAGTTGACTGTACAATTCCAGAATCCTAAAGCAGCGAGTGGAGAAACCTAATGTGCGGAAGAGCTCGTTGTACACTCAGGCCTGATGATTTCCACCGGTCCTGCCATCTCAATGGTCGGCCTGTTCGTCACGTCAATATGGAACGGTATCTGAATCCTCGTCCCCAAATCAATCTTCATCAACTTGCTGTTTGTTAAACTAATTTCAGTGTTTTTCACAGTTTCAAAGCTATTGATTTGGGTAAATTACAACGAGTATTTAAATCTAACAGGTACCGGCCGTCGAATAATGTGGCGCCGGGTTTCAACGTGCCGGTGGTTCGGAGGGAGGACGGAGGGGATTGCAACGGTGCTGTAGTTCACTGCATGAAATGGGGGCTGATTCCGAGTTTCACTAAGAAATCTGAAAAGCCCGATCACTTCAGGATGGTAATACTACTATTCCGAGTTCATTAATGTCAAGCTCTTAAAAAGACCTAACACGTGTATTTTGTGTGTGTGTGTGTGTGTGTGTGAGCGCTTGTTGTTATACTCTGAAGTGACGGATAAATTTCTTCCACTGCTGTACGCATATAATTATTTGGAGTAGGAGGTGCGGGGTACCCACACACAAATTAGGATACTGTAACAGCTCTTTGAAAGCAGTATAAGTGAATTTAAGAATACTCTGTCCTCCTCCAGTTGTTAGTAGTTAATTCAAAAAGACCTAGCACCTTCAACTCAAGTTAGAGTTACTTCCTCTGCTTCTCTTTAAAATTTACTCTCTAGCCTGTCAAATAAATGAGCAAGCTTGAACAAATTTTTGAGAACTCATAAAAATAAATGTACCTTTCCCCAAGCTTGGTTTTAGAAACAAATTAGCATCTAGTTGAGCCTGGGTTAGATTTGGCAAGTTAGAAGGTTCATAGTCAGCAGCATTAAAAGATAAACGAGCCAAGCCCTTCTAGTTCGGCTTATTGTGCTCAGCTTGAGCACCGAATCTTAGTTCAGCTATTTTCATTTACATGGTTTTTATATAACTGACTATTACCTGTTTAGTTGATTATCTTACTTGTTAATGTTATCTGTTATTTGTTTACATTTTCTTGGAGATAATTGCTGTTCTTCAGTGAATTCACATATATGAGCATGTGTTTCTTTGGCTGTTCTTTTAGCTCCTTAATGGATCACTCTATTCACCTAAACAAGAAACTCTTAGCCTTGGCCAACCAAGGGGAAAATCATGAAGTGTCTCTTCTAATCCTACCATTAAATATGAAAATAATTTTATCTATCTACTTTCATGTTTCTCTAGCTGCTCTATGCTTCTAAATGTCATGTTTGTGACATAACAAAGCTGTACTTTTTGTTTCTTCCTTATAGTCACATCTCGCTACATGGTATTGCGCACAATTCGCTGTGACATATAGAATTGGATAATTTCAAGCTACAAAATTATAGACAATATTACCATTTGAAAGTATGTAATATCCAAATATAAATTGATAAGGAAATCATAATGGGAGTCATAAAATATGTAAATAAGAAGTTGTAGTTAGAATGTGTGGTTGAAATTAATGTTTGACTAAATTTAATAACAATTTACAAATTGGTATCCAAATGGAGGCTTAATCTAATCTTTGTTTATTTAACTTCATATTGTAGAAAATATAACGATAGCAATGGAATGGAGGAGTATAATATTATATATATTGTGATGAGTTCCTCAGGAACAATCCTCTTTCGAACAATGCTCATATGCTCTAGTGAGCAATGTTACCATTTTGAGCCTTTTGAGTGTAAAAATTATCTGTCATCTATTTCCAACATGGTTCTGAACACACATCATCCTTTACCTGTGATACCTTCTGCGAACCTGAACATCAGCCTCCACGCCTCAGTGAATGCAGACCATTCATGGTTCATATTTCCCAGATTCCATGCGTGGTGATAATTTGTAAATGTCAACCCTTCCAGAATGCTAAATGGCGTGAAAATTGGGATAAATTGTTGATTTCTCATATGGCTTCAAGGTTGGAGGAAGTTGGAAAACAAATAGAAACCATTATCTCAGGCAAGGTGGTTTATTGATAGGAGAATATAGAGCCCAATGTAGTACGGACTATTTGAATGATGGAGATAATAAGATGCATGGAAGGAAGTGGATTTTTACTAATACAAGGAAATTAAACAAAATGTGTCCGGTCCCTATATTCAAAAATATATCCCTTTTATGTTGATTGTTTCAAAACATACTGGGATTCACCACTTTAAAGAGGTTTTGAAGCTAATTCTTAAGTATAGATTATAAATGACATTGGTTTTGGAGTTTGTCAACACAAATGCCTTTTCTTTTATTCTATCGACTTCCGAAGGAACATAAGAATTTTCTTTCTCATACCCATCTTCACTTGAGAGTCAAAAGTGATAATTCAAGGGAAGATGATTGTTTTGCAGCCCCTCTCGCTTTCTTATTTTTCGACCTTTTTTACCTGACCTCTTATTTTTTATATATCTGCAGTACTAGCTTTTAGTTGCAGATGCTTAATGATTCTGGTGCTAATAATACTTGATATGGTATTAATATCTTACTGCTGTTGATTTAAAACAATTGATGGACATCTTATATTCCAGTTCAATGCACGATCTGAATCAATTAGAGAAAAGGCTTCTTTTCGTCGTCTGGTTCCTAACAACAGGTGTCTGGTGGCTTTTGAAGGGTAAGTCCTGTACAATTATTTTCACATCTAATAGACTCTCCAGTTGATGCTGTTGCTCTTCTTGTTGTTTTCCACTTATTTCTTCGCTTTACCATCTTCTAAATTTTTCGTGTCTGTTTCTATATATTTTTTGTAATTATATGTAGAAGTAGTTGCATATTATTAGCTTTTCATTTTTTACCTTTTAATCCTAATCATAGATAATTAGAGGCAGGTTAGAATTGTTTTTTTAAGTAGCACAGCAGTTCCTTAGCATTTTTTTTTAATTACCTTCTGAATTATTGTGGTTTTTGTTATGTTATTCTTCAGTATTTATTTTATGATTCGAAATAATACAAGACACTGTATAACTGGATCATTTTTTTAATCGAACAATTGTTTATGCAGGCATCAGAATATTTTTTGTTTGAACATTTTCTCTTGTAATTTTTTATTTATTTATTTTTTAACCTTTTCCTCTGTGTTTTATGTTTTCTTAGAATTTTATTCTTAGCGGTCATAATAGTATTTTGGGTAAATGGAACAAACATCAAACCCCTGCTCCTGGGCAAAAGGATTAAATCCTGGTTGTTCTGACCCAACAAATATTTGTTAATATTGCCAACAAGGTGTTGATAAGTTTATATTTGTCTGGTTATAGTCATATTATTCAATTACTTTTTCCCTGATGTGCACCAATTTTTGTGTTCAGATTTTATGAATGGAAAAAAGATGGGTCTAGAAAGCAACCTTACTACATACATTTTAAGGATGGTCGTCCCCTTGTCTTTGCTGCTCTATTTGACTCTTGGAAAAATCCAGAAGGTGAAGTACCAATTAAAACCCTTTTTTTTTTACTTGTGAATTCATTTCTTTTGAAACACCATTTGCAAGATCAACAGTAGGCTTCTTCTTAGGGTGTTGTGTTGTTTTTCTTGCCTTCCAAATTTTATTGATGGCTAATTGGAAATTCTTTTATTTTGCGCAATGTGGGGTGGGGTGCTGGCAGATAGACAGCTACTGCAACATATTTCCTGGGTCTTGTATGCTTTCTGAGACTTCCTCTAAACATTATCACCAGAGTTGCTCAATCCTGTTTTCTCTTTTCACTATGCAGGAGAAGTCCTGTATACCTTCACTATCGTGACGACTTCTTCATCATCAGCTTTGGAATGGCTCCATGGTTTGTAATGTTGTTGTCATTCTCTTTATATCCCACTTGATATTAGGCCATGAAGTATGGTTTATGAAGGCTTTTTTTTTTCTTTTTTTTCTTTTTTTACCCATAGAAATGCTTGTCCACTCCTGCTGTCTATGCAGATTTGCAGGACTGTGACTTCGGAATTTCTGCATTTATAAAGCACCTTAGTGGTGCTGCTTTCGACTCTCATGAGTTAATTTGTGTTGTTATTACAGATAGGATGCCTGTTATCTTGGGTAACAAGGATTCAACTGATAGGTGGCTGAATGATTCTTCATTGCCAAATCTTGATACAATACTCAAACCATATGAAGAGACAGATTTGGTAAGGGTTCAAAATTAAGTGTTTAGAGGGCTAATTCTTGTCAGCTGTTGTTGGTGATCAGTGATTGGAATTGAGCATTAGAAACATTTTAACCTTCACTTGCAGGCCTGGTATCCAGTGACACCTGCAATGGGTAAGCTTTCATTTGACGGACCAGAGTGCATTAAGGAGGTAAAAACTACTTTTCTTTGTTCTAGTATATGCTGCATCATTAGTGTTTGACCAGATGACAACCTTGGTCGTGATAAGATAGTTTTGACAATCTACTGCAAAAGAGAAGACTCTGTTGTATTGCATGACACATTGCACAATGCTATATAATTTGAAGAAGTTTGCAGAAAATTATTCTAGTGGCTTTTGGAGCTGCTTATTAAACTCCAGTTCCAACTTAAGGCAACTTCAAAGAGTCCATTACCCTCTCATGCTGGGGGGTTCCTTTTCTGGAGCTATAGGAAATTATCCCGAGTGATCAGAGTGACTGGTTCTGCTGTGTGCATGATGAATGTAGTTGTCGTTAATGTGGACCCAAATTACTATTTTGCACCAGAATCTTTATGTTTCCTCTGATGGTTTTGATTTTGGAATCACGCTTCTTAAGAGATCATTTGTTAAAGAATTCATACAACTCAAAAGATGTTATATAAATGTAGAGTGCAAATATGTTATTCCCATCGAGAAATATAACATGCATTGACCTTGCATGGTTGTTACAGATACCGGTAAAGACAGAGGAGACCAGACCGATCTCCCAATTTTTCTCGAAGGGAGAAAATCGTGGACTTGAGCCAAAACTCGAAAACCCCACACTAAAAGATGAGCCCGTTGTAATCAATCAGCAGAAAGACACAAAAGAGGAACCTGAAAGTCAAGACAGCGACCATCCATCTACCACCAACAAAGATGATTATGACATCAAACCAAAACTCAAAAGCCCCTCAACAAAAGACGAGCACATTAAAATAAATCAGCAGAAAGGCACCAAAGATGAACCTGAAACTCAACACAAATACCATCAGTCTATTTCAAACGAAGATGATTATGATATCAAAACAGATGTTACTCAGGTGTCTGTGGAAGGGGTTGCGCAGATTCCGGGGAAGCGAAACTATGAGGAGCTTTCTTCAGATGCTAAGCCAATTGCTAGAGAAACTGACAGGTTAAGTGCAAGTTCGGTAAGAAAGAAAAGCAAGAGTGCCGATGATAAACAGCCAACGCTGCTTTCTTACTTCAGAAAAACCCAGTAACTTGTCCCTACAGGATCATATCTATGGTTTTGCTGAAATAGCTGTAATTTCCATCAAAGTACCAAAGCTGAAAGGAAGGGGATTTTCGTCCAGCTCCCACTTGTTTCACCCTGTTTATGCAATTTGTGTGTAGGTCTGGCTTTTCTGCTGGTACTCTTTTCCTGTTGACTGGTAGCACCAATGTCGTATAGTATTAGATTAGTTAATTTCTGGAAGTTTCAAGAATAACTTGGTCGTGTAAATTATTGCAATTTGATGCTAGAAACTTTTGGTCTCAGCATTCAAGCGTCATAATCAATTGATGGTTCCAGGACTTTTTGACTAATGCTACATCTATACATGATCCCACATCATAAAGCTGCACTCTGTCAATGTTTCAAGCAACCTTCGAGCAAGTTTAGTTCATAATTTTGAAGTGAGCAATTCAACCGTCCATAAAAACACACAATGCCACTTTCGAGGACTTCATTTTTTATCCAGTTCATTTTAAACTTGATACCGACAAGGGTTAAGCAGCTAAATTCCACGTCTCATGTTCTGAATGTCCATGCGAAGCCACAAGTAGCAAGTACAAAATGGCAAAAGTATTTTAAAAGATTCTTGCAACTAATCTCTATTATAAATAGCCACATGCATGCGGTAAAATTAACTCTAATAAAGAGTCAAGAGACTAAACAAGAATAATTTCACCATTTGACACGACAAAGCAAGAGATTCAACAAAGATACGGGAAGCAAGCTCTGAATCACTGCAAGCTAGCTCAATAACAAGGATGATATTGGAAACGCTATATGCAAAATTAAGAAATCTCCCATAGGGATAACCCAGTTTGATGCAGAAAAAGGGGATAATTACAAGCATAGACAATGATCATCATTCCTCCCAGTCAAATATGCCATTAAAGTATTAATACAATTCAATAGGCTATTTAACAAGAGTAGTTAAATAGTCAATTTACTAAGAATCCCAATATTCTTCGACACTGGCTTGCAATCCTCACTTCCATCTAGAGGAGTGAAACAAAGTGTAACAATCACGAACAAAAATGAAAACAACTTAAATCGATGGAAATTGAAATAATGAGACTTCCCGAATAACTCCTAAACCTAGGTTATACCAGGTTAAAGAATCTATATGGAGGAAAACCATCAACAATGAGCACATAGGTTGGTCTACATGCCTTCGTCCATCTCAAAATCTATTGAAAATGATTGGTGACACTGTACGCTGGTTTATTGATCCCATGTTATGTTTAACCAATTAAGGAGAAGTTTCATAGGAACAGAATTAAAGCAAAATGATGAGACTGTCTAATCTGGGTTATTGTTCTCAAAGTTATTTTTAACCAATCCCGGAGGAACTTCATACAAAAGGAACCAAAATCAAATGGCAAGACTGTCTAAGATGGTTTATGGTTCCAACACTATTTTTAACCAATTCGGGAGAAGCTTCATACAAACAGAACCACAATCGAATTGCAAGACGGCCCAAGCTGGTTTTCTGTTCTAAAGTTATTATAAACCAATTTCGGAGAAGCTTCGTTCAAACTAACCCAAAATCAAATGAAATGATATACAAGAATCGAATTTAACATTTACCGATTAAAAAAATAAAATGATATAGATTTTCCCTTGCAACAGATAATTAGTGAGTAACAAATACAAAAAAGTTTATAGCCATATCAAGCATTTCAAGTAATTGACTTTTGAATTATCCGGTTCTATGTGATCATAACATGGTACAGAAACTATTGCACTCCAACAAAATAGACCAACAATTGCAGTAATTTCAGTATCACAAACTACAAAACTTCAGAGAATACTCAGTAAGCTCCCCTGCTGCTATTTAGAATTGAGCCAAGAGTCCCCAAAACAGCAAATGCCAAAAGTGGGCTAACATCAAGTGTATCGAAAATTGGAGGGATTATATTCCTGAAAAGATTCAAGTACGGATCGCATAGGTCACGAATAGCAGATAACGGCTGCCTGTCCCAGGGAATATTAGGAAACCAGCTGAGCAAAACCCTAACCATCAGAACCCCGCTGTAAATATCCAGCCATTTCGCCATTCCGGCTGCCACCACGGTGAACGGCGTGTTCAACGACCCCGTAGGGACGTCCTTCATTGCAGCAAAGAATGCGGGCCCCGCCTTATAAACCAATGGAGCTTTCAGTTGTACAGCCAAGCCTAAGATTCCGCCGGCCAAGAATTTTGACGCAGTTAAGGCCGTGGCCAAGAGGGTCGTGACTGTCCGAGTCGACCCGGAAAGCAAATCTTGAGATGGGTTCTGATCTCTGGACGATTCTATTACTGGGATTCGGAGAGATGCTGAAACGGAGACCGAGATTCTTGATTTTGAGGGATTTGGCTTTGCAGGAAAAGAGAAGACTTGGGGTTTTGAGTGGGCGAGGAGGTGGCGGTTATGGGCGGAGGGGAGGTAGAGCGCAGTGGTGGAATGGTGGTGAGAAAGGAAATTGATTGGGTTCCGGATAGTGAGAGTTTGAGAGACCATAAGAGAAGAAGCCATTTTCTTTTCTGTTCTCTGGAGAATGGGATTGGGTTGTAGGGAGGAGTTAAAATGAACGTTTCTGTACTTCACAATGTTACTTATGGCCCGTTTTGCTAGTCATTTTTTTAAAATACATTTTTCTCATCTTCTTTTCAATCAGACATTCTTTATTAAAATAATATTACACGTAAATTAAAAAAAATTTATTTTTCAACTACACATTTCACTTCAATTTACTATTCTAAAATACATTTTTACATAAAAATAACTATCAAACACCCCCTATGATCTAAAAATATCTAATTATTATAGTGATTTGGCTAACAACCGATATTGGGACATTTTCTTCGCATGTTAAGTTTACCCTTTTTTTTACCAAATTTCTGCCCTGATAGAGCTGTGCCTTTCTAGCTCTTCGAGAAGAGAGAATCAAAGACACCAACAATGCTTACTTGTCAAGTTCAATTAAGTTCATAGGTCTGTTTGTATTCTTAGTTGTCATTATGATAATATCAAATTTTACGTAAAAGACATTACTCAAGATCCGATGGTCTAAAAAAAAGTCCACTACCCAACAAAGACAATCTTATCTTTTATTCCAATCTACTTGTTCTAGAGATTGAATCTGTTGATCCCAAAAAGTGCGCCAACAGATGCCGGTCCCACTCGCGCTTGCGTAGGCGAATGTCCAACACGCTAAGACACGTGGACGGTCTAAAACGAGCGGTTCAAAGGGCGTGGGAGTAGCTCAACGACGCGGGACGATGACGTTCGGAATCCGACGGGTTGTTCGTAATCCGATTGTACAATAATTACCAACCGGTGTTCATAAATGTATATGTAAATGTGTATAAACTTGATTTGTGTATTGCAAGTGAACTAAAAGAGAGTTGAGTAAATGTAATTCTTTGTATTGATTCTTGCATTAGTTTTTTGATATTACACAAGGGAGTATTTATAGTAGTACATATGAAATGGGAGCCCTTGGATGAAGTGGCACGTGGCCTCATCTCTTTAGTTTAAACATCTTTTCCTAAGTATGGGGCTTGACTTGCTAGTTTACGACGTATTTATTGCTTGTGCAGGGCCTCCATGTTAGTGACAAGACTTAACATTTATACTTATGACAAACGTTCCATCAACATTCGAATAAGATCTGTGCAGGTGATCTCTTGGGAGAAGTGATCATGGAGGATGTTTCTTTGTGGTTCAGAGGCTCGCGCATCAGCTTCGGGGCTTCGGCCATTTGTCATGATACTTCCACTCGAGGGCCTTAGCTGCTCTCAGCGGTTCCAGCAGCCTGGCATCGGTTAGTAGGCCTCGGATAAAAGGGAGCCTCGGTAGATGGATTTCGGCTCAAAGCAATTCGGATGTAGCCCACCTCGACATCGTGTGCCACCTCGACAGGAATGCCACGTGGATCGCTATGAGTGGGCCATTGTCCCAGGTAGTTTGGACAGGTGTGACAACACGCAACAATAGTCCCCCAAGTCCAAGTATAGATATTTATATCATGGTTGGAATTAGAGAAGTGTTGCTGTGGGTGAGCGATGAAGTAGGCGAGGTGTTGACATTTTGAAGATGAAGCCAAAGTGGTTGAGGAACTGAACCTGTGAGGCTTGTTGCTGAATGATGAAGGGGGAGTCGAGGTGGTTGAGGAACCGAACCTGCGAGGCTTTGTTGATGAATGATGAGGAGGAAGCCGAGGTGGTTTGAGGAACCGAACCTGCGAACCTGCGAGGCTTTGTTGATGAATGATGAGGAGGAAGCCGAGGTGGTTTGAGGAACCGAACCTGCGAGGCTTGTTGCTGAATGATGAGGCGAAAGCCGAGGTGGTTGAGGAACCGAACCTGCGAGGCTTGTCGGCTGAGTGCAGAGATGAAGCCGAGGTCCAATGGTAATGATTGTGCCTTGATAGTTGAGCAATGATTTGATGTCTTGTGCTTGTTTTCGAGAAAAAGTGGCTAAACCGTTACGACTTCCAAGGCGCTTGCTGCCGTCGTATTAACAACGTAATTATGAGGGCAGCTGGCGCTTCTAGAAGCAGACGCGCTGGAAGAGGTGCGTGGGTGGCACGCATGAATCTGAGGCGCAGGATTGAAAAACCCTTTGAATTCAACGCCTCGGATTGGATCTGAAATTGAGGGCTCAGATTGAGTGAGATTTGATCTAACGACCGGGGTTCGTCCTGGACCTCTATAAAAGGTGAGGAAATCCCATTTTTTAGGATTTTCGAACTCTTGCACTCTAATATTCTCTTAAATCTTCAAATTTTTCCGGCATCGAAGTTGACTGTGATTTCAATTTCCGGCCAATCTCCGTTTGTGTTGAATTCCGTTAGGTATTTTTTTTGCAGAAAATTCCATTTTACTGTCTTTTTACTGGAAAAATGGAGTCCACTTCGGGTAGGAAGCTACTGACAGTGGCGTCTTTAGATCATGGGGTAGGTCAGATGGGGGAGTCCGAGGTGGATATATATGCTATGACCGAGGACCCTGTAGATTATACCCAGGAGTGGGGGGCATCTAGGGTACCTTCAAATATGACGTGGAAGAGGTTGGGGAAACTTAGGGAGAGGTATAGTGTACCCCATTCCATAGAAATGTTAGTCCCCGAGCCGAACAAGCGGGCATGCCATCCGAGGCCCGGCTGCGTGGCCGTCAGTGAATACCTGTTCAAGGTAGGTATGTTTCTACCTCTGCACCCCTTCTTCAGGGCGGTGCTTAGGAACTTTATGCTGTCCCCGACCCAGGTTCTGCCGAATGGGTGGAGCCAGCTGGTCGGCTCGTACTTCCTATGGAAGGAAGTGTCACTTAAGGAGGACATGCCTCTCCATGTGTTTATGACCCTGTTCCAGCCTCAGGTGATTGGGAAGGAGTCTAAGGGGTGGTACTACCTCACGCCTTGGGGGGCTCACGCACTTTTTGTGGTGGGACTTCCTTCCTCTATCAAGGGCTGGAAGGAGTCTTGGTTCTGGGTGCGAGGTAAGTGGCAAGCAGTGGAGGGGGACAAAGCCCTTACTTGCACCGTGCCGACCCAGTACTACGAAGCTCGTGAGTCTCCCAGACCCTACTTGTTTTCTGAAGCCAAGGTTTGAATTTGTCTAACTGTTGGGACTTTCTTTGCAGATAGTAGTACGAGGTTCGAGCTCAGCCGCGAGGAGTTCGAGGTGATAGAGGACATCTACAGGAGGCCTCTGAAGCTTCGCCACTTCGACCATTTGATTGACAGGAGTCGTTATTTTCTGGACTTTGAGCTGATGGCATCCAGAGGTACGAAGCTCCCACAGTTACAATTTTCTTGTCCCTTTGTTCTAACACTGATGCTGACAATGTATTATGCAGATAAATTCAAGAAAATGGAGTATCCAGCTCCAGATATGGCTTCCATTCTGAAGGCCACTTCTACTGTGAAGGCGAGGCCTCTGAAGCCGGGCTCCAGTGGGGCGAAGGAAGTCTGAGGCAGGGTTGAACGCCTGTCCAAGGACTGTACTCCGCGGGCCTCGGATGAGGCAACACCTCAGAGGCAGGAGAAGCCGAAGGAGCCTCGGGGGAAGGAGAAGGTTATTGAGGAGCCGAAAAGGAGGAAGTTGGTGCATATCTCCAGCTCTGTCGGGAAATTTGGGACCTCTGTGTCTCATGAGGCAAAGCAAACTGGCGAGCCGAAATTGCTTGCAGCCGCCTCAAAGGCCATCAAAATTGAGATGGTTAGAGCGGCAGAGGCCGAGGAGGCTAGAGCGGATGCTGCGAGGCGAGCTTCGGAGGCTGCCGAGGAGGAGGCTACGAAGCAAAAGTCGGTTCGTGAGAAGGGGAAGTCTCCGAGCTTCTTAGCTGGGAGGGAGGAGGCACTGGCCCCGGCCTTGGTGGAGGCTCTCCCTAAAGAGATCCAAAGTGCCACTGAGAACTTCTACAAGTTCTGGACAGAGAGGTGGCAGCTGCACGCCTCCGCTTGCGATGCCACTGATATGACGAGGGCATTAGTGAGCCAGAGCATCAGGACTTTTGGCCTCGCGCTTGAATGCAGGGAGGCCCTTAGTGAATTTCAAACAAGGACCCAGGCCTCAGAGGGGAAGATGGCCTCCCTCGCAGAGGAGCTGAAAGCTGCTAAGGTCGAGGCTAAGGAAGCCAAGGCCCAAAAAGTTGAAAAATCGACGAAGCTCGAGTCTGCACTAGCCCAGATCGAGGCCTTAAAAAAGGAAGTATACGAGTCACAGTGCGAGGTGGCCTCCTTAACAAAGAAGGTGGAGGTCTCCAATGACCACCAAAAGGTGACTGCTGAGGCCCTGGAGAAGGCAAACCTCTCCTTGACAGGTGCTCAGGACGCTTATAAGTATCTGGATGGCCAAATAAAGTAGTACGTGGACGACGCCACTTATGTAAGGGAAGAGGGTCGAACTGCAGGGGAGGAGGCGGTGAAGGAATACATCGCCAACTTCCATACAACCGAGGAATATAAGAGCTTCAGTGCATACTGAAGGAACTTCGCCTACGCCGAGGTGATGGAGCCGGCGGAGGAGCTGTATCCCAACTTAGATCTGACTCAACTCAGGTCTGAATTTGTGGATGAGGTTCCTCAGACCCCAGCTGAGGAGGTGCAAGGTGATGAGGCAGCTGATGCTGAAGTCCCAAGTGCTGAGGCAGAGGAAGCAACAACTGATGCCTAAGTTGCCGAAGCCCCAAGTGCTAAGGCGCCTCTGCCATCTAGCCAGGCTTAGACTAGGTTTTCCTTTCCAGTACTTTGAATGGAATGGCCAGAGGCCCTCCTTTGTAATCCCTTTTGAATATTAATATAATGTTTTTCTTCATTCATTGTTGTTCTTTATCCAAGTTTTTTGTGCCTCGTTAAACAAACGAACTGGAAGTTGATAAGAGCACGAACTAAATAACTTTAACTGTATGAGCGTCGGACTTAAGCAAATGAACATAACTTAAGGAGGTGAACTGTGTGAGCCTCGGACTTAAGCAAATGAACATAACTTAAGGAGATGAACTGTGTGAGCCTCGTACTTAAGCAAATGAACATAATTTAAAGAGATGAACTGTGTGAGCCTCGGACTATGGCGTTGTGGCGTC